TCTCTAACCTCTGCCCTTTGCCTGCCCAGTTCTGGATGCTGATTCTGGCCACCACGATCCCCATACCTGCTGGGTACTTCTTGCCCATATTCATCTATGGTGAGTGTGGGGTGCTGAGGGTCTGAGAGGCTCTGGGGTGCAGGGGTGGGCCCTTGGCTCCTGACCCAGCTCCTCCATCCTGGCGTGGGACCCAGAACGGGCACTGGGACAGAGGGCCCAGTTGGCTCTGTTCACTCTGAATCTGTGCTCAGGAGCTGCCATCGGGCGCCTCCTGGGGGAGGCCCTGTCTGTCGCCTTCCCGGAGGGCATCGTAGCTGGAGGCGTTGTCAACCGCATCATGCCAGGGAGCTATGCCCTGGCTGGTGAGTTCCGGGCCGGTGGCTGGGTGGGCGCATCTCGGCCTGTACCTAGAGAATTGGATGGAGGCTTCACAGGGCATGGAGGGGCCGCCCAATCTGTCCCCCGGTTCATGGAACCAGCGCCTCCCTGAGCCCTACCATCCCGGAGTCCCTCGTGGTGCCTGTCCTGTCCTCTCTGCTCGCCTTGCCCAGCCATGCCAGCTGGCCTGAGCTGCCCATCCTGCCCTGCCTCCATGCCCCCAGGGGCGGCAGCCTTCTCTGGGGCGGTGACCCACTCCATCTCCACGGCGCTGCTGGCATTCGAGCTGACGGGCCAGATCGTGCATGGGCTGCCTGTGCTGATGTGCGTGCTGGCGGCCAACGTCATTGCCCAGAGCTGCCAGCCCTCCTTCTATGATGGCACCATAATCGTCAAGAAGCTGCCGTACCTGCCCTGGATTCGGGGCCGCCGCATTGGGTGAGCAGGCAGAGATGGGGGGCCTGGGGGTGGAGGCCCCCAGAAGAAGTGCTACCGAGGCTGACCTTCACTACGTACGGCATCCTCGGGTCCCTATGCCCCCTGGTGCCCCACTGGCTGGGTGAGAAGCCAGGGCACCCACTCCAGCCCACATGGACAACACAGAGCCAGCATGAGCTTTGGGGGTCCCCTCCCATCTCTCCTGCTCTGCTGTCCTTACTGCATGTGGGCGGAGCTAGAATGGGGACTTGGAGGGTTTCCCCCCATCACAAGGGACCCAAACAGTTCCCATCCCTAGAGAGGCAGTGCCCAGCTCCAAACCCGTTTCCCCATCTATAAGATGGGGGTGCTCATCCAGAGGTTTCCAAACTTCAGAGCTGTCCTTCAGTTTGATTTTTGCTGTGTAACATTTCTTCCAGTGGGATAGGTCTGAGCATAGTAGAGCTCACCTGGGGCGCTCCGGGGGCCCCAGGGAGCTCAGGTTCAGGCCTGGACCTGCGCGATATCTCAGGCTCCTTCCCACCATGGGGTTCCGGAGCTCCTCAGTCTCCACCTGCACGGGGCAGCCACAGATCCAGCTTCAGCTGAGCACCCCGGGACCCTGAGGTCCTGACAGGGACTCCCTCTGCCTGCAGCTCCCATCCCGTGAATGTGGGGCACTTTATGGACAGCGCCATCACCACGCTGGCCAAGGACGCGCCGCTGCAGGAGGTGGTCAAGGCTGTGGCCTCCACAGACGTGGTGGAGTACCCTGTGGTGGAGAGCACAGGTGCCTAGCATTGGGCAGGGGCAGGGGTAGGGCCAGGGGCAGGGCCAGGGCCAGTGGGGAGAAGCAGGCATGGAGTCTGGGTTTGAATCCGGGCCCTGGCTTAGCTGTGTGGCACTGGGCAAAGCCCTTTCTTGGGGCTTCTGTTGCTTCACCAGTGACACAGATGAGATCCACCGTTGGGGACGGGGGCTGACACATCTCAAGGGGACCAGACAGAGCACGTAAGGCACCACAGACGGCTCCTGGGAGAAGCTTCCCTGGGTCCTCGCCCAGTCCCTGCCGTACAACAGCTGCATCTCTTGAAAGACAAATGAACAACGGCTGGGTTACAAGAGCAGCTGAGCGCTGCGGTGCCTGCCTACAATCCCACTACTCGGAGGCTGAGGCGGGAGGATGGCCAGTTCCAGCCCACACCTTGCAACTTATTGACTTAGTAACACTCAGGCTCAAAAAAATATAAATGAATAAGAAAGGCTGGGTATGTCGCTCAGTGCAAAGGCCCTGGGTTCAATGCCCAATGCTGGGGAAGGAGAAAAAAGATATATGCGAAGTCTCAAGGGAGGGTCAAACCAGAGCGCTCTTCCTGCCCTGTCAGCGTTACTGTCAGTTCCTTTTGTGCAAATGAGACTACACACACACACACACACACACACACACACACACACACGGCACCCATAGCATGGCTGGACTTTGTCCCCACTTGCGCTTTGGGTTGGCATCTGGTGCAGTAAGGACCCTGAACAACCATACACGTCACCCCTATAGCTGCCTTAGGAGAAATAAAACCACTTGGGAGCCGAGTAACTGTGGGGACATCAGTCAAGTTCCCCTACCACAGGGTCCTCGTTGGTACTACAGCCCTGAGTTCCATGCAGCAGAGCAGGCAACACCCCCAGTGTGCACATGAGTGACCCCAAGAGGCTTCACCTCCTAAAACAGAGAACTGGCCTCAAAGACAAAGTTCTCCGTGACCCTTGGGGCCACAGGAGGCACAGCAGTCCCAGCCTCCCCAGGTCTCACCACCAGGAAATAGCTTTATTCCCAGAGTCGAGGAGGAGCACCTTCTCTCATAGACTCGGGGCCTCCCAGTGGTGGGCATCCGCTCTGCACAGAGACACAGAGCCCAGGCCCCAGGTTTTCATTTTACCCGTCATAAGGCAAAGATACACCCGGATGGCCTTCAAAACCCTCCACCCCTAGCTATCCCACTGATGTCACCATGCAGATGCCCCCAGATCCTGTCGAGAGGCCCTACAATGACATGGAGATCTCGATGGGGACCCGGAGGCAGCCTCACCTGACACACTCCTCAGCCGAAGCTGAGTGACCGAGTGGAACAGTTAGTGCCTGTCCTCTGCTTCAGTGTCCTCCCCTGTGAGATAGGTGGGAAGGGCTGTCACAGACGACAGCCTTCCTCAGAGGCAGGAGCCTGGTCTGGTGCACGGCAAATGCTTGGGAAGTGTGACTCCCTCCTCTATAACCGCCTCTTCCTCCCCGCTTGCCAGACTCTCAGATCCTCGTGGGCACAGTGCGCAGGGCCCCACTGCTGCAGGCCCTCCTGGCTCGGCCACCTTCCTGGGCTCCAGGACAACAGGTAGGTCCTGGAGAGGGCTGGAGGGTGGCTTGGAGAGTGAGCAGTACTGAGGGAGAGCCTGGCCTGGGCCTCCTGATCTCTCTCTCTCTCTCTGTCCTCAGCGGCATCTCCAGGACATCCTGGCTAGGGGTTGCCCCATTGAGCCAGTGACCCTGCAGCTGTCCCCTGACACCACCTTGCACCAGGTAACAAAGAGCAGACCCAGCAGCTGAGGTGGAGGGGAGACCCACCTCCAGCTTCCCCCTGGGTGCCATCACCCCCCCCCCCAAGTGTTTCTTCATCCACGGGGCAGGCACAGTGGCTCCTACCTGCTGGCCCCTCCCTGCCGGGGTTGTGGTGCAGAGACTAGGGGAGCGAGGGCTCAGGAAATGGAAGCCCCTGGAGGGAGGGGCAGTAGTTAAAAGCATTGCACCAACTGGGCACGGTGGTACATGCCTGTAATCCCAGTTACTTGGGAGGCTGAGGCAGGAGGATCACATGTTCCAGCGACTTAGTGAGACTGCCTCAAAAATAAACTGGGTTAGGGGTGTAGCCCAGTGGTTTTAGGCTCTGGATTCAGTCCCTCCTCCCCTTGTGCGTTTCAGTTTTACCCCCCCCCCCAACATTCTCTCTGTGTAGCTTTAGGTTAAGCACTTAACCTCTCACTCAGGACAGAATCTGGTCCACGAGGCAGAGGAGGAGGAAGTGAGAGGGGCCTTGGGAACGGCAGAGACAAAGCCCTCCTTGCAGGCGGAGGTCCTACCGGGTCCATTATACTGAGGGCAGGTCCGGCTCCTTAAGTGGGCTCTGGCGGCCCCTAGCGGTTACAGTGGGAATCGCAGGCCGTGTCTCCATCTTCCCTCTTCGGTTCCCGGTTTTAGATTGGGTTGCGGGTGGGGGAGCCCCCGAGACGCCTCCGCCCTGCAGCGCTTCCTCACCGCCCCCTAGGCGCACAACCTGTTCGAGCTGCTGAACCTCCAGTCGCTCTTCGTGACGTCGCGGGGCAGAGCCGTGGGCTTCGTGTCGTGGGTGGAGGTACGGGGGTCTCGAGGGCTGGCCAGAGCAGAGGAGGCATGGGAGGAGGGGCAGCATCCTCCCATTCAAAGTGTGGGGGCTTCTCAGGACTGATGAACCCCAGTTCTTGGCCCAGCGCGGTCACAGGGCCCAGCTTCCCTGTCGCCTGCAGCGGTGCTATGGGCTTTCGGAGCTGCCAGCGCCCCATCTCCTCCTCCCGCACCCCTTTCTGTGCCATAGCTGAAGAAGGCCATTTCCAGCCTGACCAACCCACCAGCCCCGAAGTGAGCCAACCCGCGGCCTTGGTGACGGAGTCCCGGCCTGGCTTCCCATCCCCCGGCCCAGCTCCAGCTCGCCCGGAGAGGCCCCATCCCTGGGGACAACAGAGACTGCCTTGAAGGACAAATCCCGTTACCGCAGACACCTGGCCACGGCGGGGGCTCAGTGCTTGGGCGCAAAGGGCGGCCCGCGACGAGGGCGGGCACTGGCGCCCCCTGGCGGTAGAGATTCCCACCCCCAAACTCAGGAGAATAAAGCTGCTCTGTGAGCTGCCTGCCAGGACAGCTGTCTCCGCCTAGGTGTGCAGTGGTCCCCAGCTCCGGCCCTCTATGGTCTCCTCCTCCAGCCTTGTTCCTTGACAGGGAGATGTGGCCCCCCACTAGGGCTTATGCATCCTGTCCTGGATGAGGCTCAACTGATCCCGTGGGTCCCAAGGTGCGGCTCCTCCGGGCGCAGGAGCCCACTGGGGGACGCTGTATCTGCCAGTCCTGTTCCCTTGCCCGAGGGCTGGAGGGCACCCCTTCCACAGCAGAGACCAGGTCGGACTCATCAGGACATAGCCACCACTTTAATGTCACCAGAGAAACAAGAAGGACTGGGGGTGCGAGGAGGGAAACGGGCTCCTGGAGTAGGGAGCTGGGCACCGAGGAAGAGGTCCAGAGGGTAGGAACAGACACACACTCCAGGGTCGGATCCCGAGGGTGCTTAGCTACCAGAAGAGGCCGCCCACCTTTGATGGGGCAGGCAGGGGAGGGGGGCTGAGGTGGTCCAGGCAGGTCAGGTCCGCAGGCCCCACTGCACGGGAGCCTCCTGGTCCCTTCCATGGTCCGTTGTCTGCCTAGGGACCCAGCTGACAGCTCCTCTGGGGATGGTTGCCCTGGCTTCTGCAGAGTCCTTGAGCTCTGGGAGGGTGGGATCCCCAGTGGGCTGAGGATAGAAGGGGGTTACGGCTCCCATGGCAGGGTGCGGTCCGCGAGGCACAGAGTAATCCACAAGGGGTGCCTTCCCCGTGGAGTCCCGAGATGCCCAGACCTGGGGTCCCGTATGCAGGGGCTGCTGGCCAGGCCCAGTGAGGTGTGGGTGGGTGCTGCACCCCACTGGGCTCAGTTGTAGAAAACCTCGTCCTCCTCCGAGAGGGAGCCGCTGTCCACTGAGGGCAGGGAGTCCTGCAGCGGGCCCCCACCATCAGGCCCCAGGCCCCCAGGCAGCCGCCTGCGATGCTGCTGCTCAGGGCTGGGGGGCTGCAGGCCAGCAGCCAGCATGGGGGGCTCCTCGGGTGAGGGCCAGTCATCAGGGGAGAGGCCGGGGGAGGAGAAGGCCAGGAGGCTGTCATCTCCCAAGGGGCCGCTTGGAAGGCTGTCCTGAAGGTAGATGCTCTCCAGGTCTGGAAGGCAAAGTGGGTATGGGAAAGGATGGGGCTCCGCTGTCGCTCAGAGCCCTCTCCGGGACAGTAGGAACCAAGGGACCTGGGCTCTGTCTCCTGGTCCTGCTGCTTCCCACTCAGCTAGGTGGCCATAGCAACTCACTGACCCTTTCTGAGCCCAGCCTTCTCCCTGAGGTAGAAGTGGAGTAGTGAGGAGCAGGCTCTGGAACCAGACCACACTCCGAGAATGGAGACCTTGTCCCTGCCCCTCCTGGCCAGAGGGAGGATCACAAGGCAACTCAATGTGGGCATCACCCAGGACTCCTGCTCCCGGATGCCCTCCAGAGTAACGTGGGGTCCTAGAAAGGAGGCAAGTGAGCTGGACACAGGGGCATGTGCTTGTGACCCCAGCACTCTGGGAAGCTGAGGGAGAGGGATCCAAGTGCAAGTCCAGCCTGAGCAACTTAGTGACTTATTGAGAACTTGTCTCCAAATAAAAAAGGACTGTAGCTCAGTGTGAAGGCCCTGTGCTCAAGCCCCTGGGCTGCAAGAAAGAAAGGAAAGGGAGGGCAGAAGGAAAGGCGGGTGGAGGGGGTTGGGGTGGGGGCGAGGTGGTGCCTGGTGGTTACTCCAGATCCGGCTCTGACAGCACTAGCTGCGAGTCCCGTGATCTCTGCACCTCTTAGTGCCTGAGGTTCCTCTTTCACACAGTGGGGACAATTGGACCTGTCCCTAGGGCTGTCATGGGAAAACAGGACCAGCACTCGGGCGGTGTGTGGTACAGTGGCACTTATTCTGTTCAGGCCGTCCCTGCGCCATGGCCGGGTGGGGATCACGGCCTGTTTCACAGAAGGGAAGGAAGGGCAGGGACACCCTGCATCCAAGTGGGCCTCTGGCACCCCAGTCAGCCTTTCCCACCCTGCCACACCCCTGGGTGTACCCTGGAGCTGGACAGCGTCCCCGGGGCTGGCCTCAGGGTGCAGTTCCTCATCGTCCAGCGAGGACCAGGCGCTCAATGTAGCCTCTGTGATGGCAAACTGTTCAGCCACCCCTGGGGGACAGCAAGACCCAACTCAGCGGAGGGGGGGGGCTCTGTGCCACAACAGCCCCTCTCAGCTGCCATCTCCCCACAAATGGACGTCCCTCTATGCCACATCCACCTGCCACCACCGCCTTTTCCGCCTGTGTGGGGGGCCAGGCTCTGTCCCCTGCTGACCTGCGGCAAAGCGCGCCTCACGGAGCTCGTCGGGAAGGCAGCAGTAGTGTTCATCCTCAGCCGGGGATGGTGCCCAGCCCGCCCGCGGGGCGCTCCAGCCCTTCCACTCGATGAGGTGCGCCACACGGCCTCGTGCCATGGCCGTGGGCTTGGTGATGTGGTCCTTGATGCTCTGCACCACGCCTGGGGGCATGGGGAGAGTGGGTGACTGTCCCAGCACCAAGCTCCCAATGTCCTCGGCCCTCCATACCTAGGCCCATGCCCCACATCTAGATGCAAGCCATATCCTCCCCTGGGGCCAATGCCTCCACCTTTCCACCCCTGCCCACTCTCACCCAGCTCTGTCTGCCTCTCCCCAGGTCCCAGCCCAGCAGAGTCCTGCTTCTTCCTCCAATGGGCCACACCTCACCTCACAATCTAACCCCAAAGCAAGATCCCCAGGACACTGTCACCCCCATTCCCACCATGCCTGTCGACACAGAGCCCAGCATTTAGAAAGCAGTGAATGAATCCAGCAGGCAGGCTGCTCCGATCCCACAACTATGTCCAGGCAGGAGCCGGGGGTACTGCTGGTGCCTACCCACAAGGGACGAGGTGGCTAGGGCTGCCACACTGTAGTTGCTGGAGCGGGCTCTGGAGTCGCACAGGTAGCCGTTGGTGGTCTGGAAGCACCTCTGCAGCAAGGGGGCAGCATGAGTGGGGAGGGTGGAGGTAGGGTGAGGTTGGGCTGGTTCTCTGTGGCTGTGCCTGCCATGTCCCCCACTGCATGACCACCCCACATGGGCCAGGGATAGTAACCCAGCTCCCCCCAGGGCAGGCAGGACTGCACACAGCTGGACACAGCAGAGGATGGCAGTGGCGTTCAGGGGCCTTCACACTGACCTGCCAAGGATCCCAGCAGAAATCCAGCTGCTTGTCCTACAGCAAGAGAAGAAGAAGGGTCAGACGGGACCTGGTCACCACATCCTGCACGGGGTGGGAATGGCCTAGTGCTCCGCAAGGTCATAGTCTGCCCATGTGGAGTTGTGCCCTGGTGTCTCCTGGCACTCAGAGAAAGGAGGGGGACAGCAGTGGCCCGGGAGGAGAGAGATCACAGGCAGGCCCCACTGGGCATCTGAAGTCGGGTGATCCAACAGCTCAGGCCTCAGTTTCCTCCTGTGTGGCATGGGTGACCGTACCATGGACTCCTCAGGCCGTGACGTAACATGGGCCCAGTGTCTAGCACATGCTCAATGTGCCCCACACAGTAGACAAAGGCTGGAAAGTGGTTATAGTGACAGTAGGTTCAAGTCACGGGTCCCTGGGGCAGGGGCGGACACTGCACCAGGACTCGGGGACCAGAGTAGTGGCTCGCTGATGCCCCTGCATGGAGAATACGTCCCTTTCATTTCCAAAGGGCAGTGCAGGCTGCTGAGGAGTTACGGGCTCACTGCGGAGCTCGCAGTCTGTGCGCCTGCAGTCACTCGGGTGGGAAGACCTGTCGGGCAGGGCTGACTTCTACGCATGCCCGGCCCAGTCCTGGGACACTCAGTTCAATCCACACTGAGCTGCAAGCCTAAGGAGCTCCAGGCCCACAGGGAAAGGGAGGCAGGAGCTTGGGACGGCTTCTGCTCCCTGTGGGCAGCTGTGGGCACAGGCAGGGGGCAGGCGGCAGGCAGGAGGCTGGGTGGCTGCTCACCTTGCCTGCGACATGGCCTACAGCAGCGGAGGAAGAGTGGCCAGGGGGCAGGTCTGCGGTGAGGGCATCCATGCCCCGGGGCAGGGGGCAGTCCTTGTGGGCACTTGTGAACAGATCTGGAAACACACAGAGGCAGAAACTTAGGGAAGCCCAGCA